TGATTGTGTCACAGTGATCAACAACTTCTTCTCCCGTGCCAGACTGGATTACTACACTAAGCCTCAGGGTTTGGAGAAGGAACCCAAGCTACCACCCAAACTTGCTGGACCTTTGCATAAGGTCATCATGAGCACCAACCTGAACCCTGTCAAGGTAAAGCTTCCCTGGTTTCTAAAAGGTCATGATATAAAAATATATAATTGATGCAGCTATTGTTATTACCCACTGATACAGATTAAAGTGCTGTTGCAGTCTTTTATTTATTCATTTGCAAATATTACTCTGATTTCTTCTGGTTATGGGCATTGTGCAGCAAACTTTCAAATACATTTTGTCACTGAGCAATGGGGTATAGTTAAAAACAGCCAGATACTGGTTTAGCTCTGATTGACTGGTCAACAGCAGGGATGTCCTGTGGTGCACTTGGAGCTATGAACGGAACTGAAAACAGATTTTTACATCACAGATTATGAGCAAAGACATTAAATGTAAACTGCATTTCTTTTACTAAGAAGAACCTCGGTGTTTGGTTTGTTTTCCAGATGGTGATGCTGGTGAAGGAGAATCCTTTACTGGCGGAGGTGGAGGCGCTGGACAAATGTCGCCGGGTGATGGAGCTTATCTGTGAGAAGTGCATCAAGCAGCAGGACATGAACGAGGTGTTGGCCATGAAGATGCACTACATCAGCTGTGTGCTGGGAAAATGTGCCTCCTTCCTCAAAGACCGTGAGGACAAGCTAGACGGTCTCCTTAAGAGGTGTGTGATCTAAAAATGATCTTTGTTAGACCTACAATAATCTAGTGTTTACTTTCTGTGCTTTTTGTGTGTGTTAAATAAATGTAATGATAGCACAGGTTAGAATGTGTTCTTAATTAATTTTTTTAATGCTTCTAAGCAGCTTTTCATGGTAGGGCATTTGTTTTTGTCAGTGTTGTGACCAATATGGATCGTAACAACACTGATGGTGACAGAATTGTTGGTTATTCTACCCACTCTAAGGCTACGTTCACACTGCAGGTCTTAATGCTCAATTCCGATTTTTTGATCAAATCCGATTTTTTTGTCTGCTCGTTCACACTACAAATAAAATGCGACAGCAAACGCGATCTAGTGTGAACGCTCAAAGCGGCCCGCATGCGCAAAAGAAGACGTCACACACAACACGCTCTGTTTAGACCCAGAGCAAACTATATTGTTTGACTGATGGCCCTTAATATAAAGACTTCGGACTCCATGTTTCCCAATTTTTGCTTTAAGTTATTTTGTTATTTACATAATAATGTAGATAACCTAATAATGATCCTTATTGCTGTTTTAGAGGAGCGGTGCTTCAAAGGATAGTTGCAGATTTCTGTCAGAATCTGCAGATTATACAGTACAAATAAAATGTTCACGTTTCTCCAACGTTGTCTTCCCAGCAGTCTCACCGGATGGCCAGGAAGCGTTCACGATGTCTTCTCGGGCGCTTCTCCTGTGCTGATAATTGGCGTCTGTCTTGTGTCAGTGACATAAAAGACGGATTTAATGCGACATGACCGTTCACACAGCTGTCGCTTTCTGAAACATCGGATATGTATCGGATTCAGTACCACATACGAAAGTGACCCAGATTGGATTTGAAAATATCGGATTTGTGCCGTTCACACTGTCACACCATGATCGGATATGGGTCGCATAGGGTCAAAAAAATCGGATTTGATGCGCTTTCGCCTGCAGTGTGAACGTAGCCTAACACTCAAGCCTGATCCTGAGTGGAGCTATGTCTGTTAAAACCAAAAATTCCAAAATGCAGTGAATTTTATTATTTTAAGTTATTTTTGAGATGACATCCACTGTACAGTTATAAATACCTCTAATCCTTGTTTTCCAGCTTGCTGAAGGGTCGGGACTCTGATGGTTTCCCCGTGTATCAAGAGAAGTTTATCAGAGAATGCATTCGCAAATTCCCATATTGTGATGCTACTCTGCTGCAGCAGCTGGTGCGGAGTATCGCTCCTGTAGAGATTGTGAGTTTGCAAATCTAACTCACTGGAAAGCTAAATGGATCAAAAGGCTAAATTAAGCGATGTGTATCTTTTCATGAAAAAAAAAAAAAAAAAAGTCACAACTTTGTTTTGAATAGGTTTCATTCAAGCTTAATGTATTTTGTAATTAGCTGTGTGTGGTGGTTGATTTGTGTCTTTCTTTCTAACATCATTGCAGGGTAACGACCCCACAGCTCTGTCAGTGCTGACTCAGGCCATCACCGGTCAGGTCGGCTTCATGGACGCAGAGTTCTGCACGACCTGTGGAGAGAAAGGAGCCGAGAAGAGATGCTCCATCTGTAAAATGGTGAGCGTCAGAGCTACAACAGATTGTCGGTTTTACCTAAACAATGAAGCCTGTTGTTGTTTCTTTGTTTTAATTTGATGTGAAATTTTTAATTATGACCTTTTCTGAGAGTCCTTTCTTTAACTGACTGCTTGGATTGTTTACCTTTTTTGACATAAACGGTGTACAAATAAAGTTGTTGTTTTTTTGTTTTTTTCTCACCAGGTGATCTACTGTGGCCAAGCTTGCCAAAAGATGCACTGGTTCACCCACAAGAAAGTTTGCAAGAAGCTCCAAGAGCAAAGAGAGAAACAAGAAGCAGAAGCAGCCAAACTGAGGATGCAACAGAACAAAGGTATTTTCTTCATTAGAAAGCTAAAATAAGTCACACAAAATGGTAACACAAACATTTGTCCCACAGAAGCTACTAAATGTAGCTTCCCACAAAAGCTACTAAATGTAGCTTCTGTGTTAAATGTTACAAAATGTGTGTAATGACAGTGTTCTATTAAAGTAGAATCAGTTCCATTTTAAGGTCATTTTAACATCAATATCTGACTTTTTACTTAAAATCGTCTGCTTCAGGATCAGTGTGAATAGAGCCATCATGTTTCAATATTTTTCTTTAAATTTCACTTTTGAGAAAACCCTTAAAAGCTCTAATTTTCTGCTTATGGATTTACAAAAAAAAATATTTTCAAATTTTAAAAAAAATTATGCTTTTCTTTTTACATTCTTAAAAAAAGAAAATTTTAAAAAGGGAGGCATACAAAATAACATCACTAATTAAGAGCTCATTTGAATTTTCTCCCATATTTAAATAAACTCACAGTAAAAGCATGCTGTGAAAGACTTTATATTAAAATATGATCAGTTTAATATAGAATTTTAACTGACGGTCATCAAGAGTTGATCAGGGATAAAACACAAAGCTGCATGTGATTTAAAATAGGTTTGAATGACTTGTCTTGTTTGTCTTTCAGAAGAGAGTAAAGCTGTGCAGGATGCCACAGACTCCATGCAGGAGCTTTCAGTAGACACTAGCAGTGAGGTCACCCCTTCAAACACTGCAGCAGAAACGGAAACATCAGACCCTGCAAGCACCCCAGCTGCTGGCAACTGATGAACATCTGACAGTTGAAGACAATGACCATCTTCTCTAGGGTCTATCCACACACCACAGATAGAGAGCAAACTGGCCATAAGAATAAACGCCAGATAAAGACTCGAAGAAGGACTCATATTTATTAACAATCTAAGACTCTCACCATAACGGCAAGACACATCCGAGGAATGCCGCAGTCTTTGTGTCCTTTTTCTAAGTTAACTTTTCATATGGAATTGTTATAATATCTGAATGTGAACACTGCATAGGCTAAAGTGTTTTTGGTAGACGTCACTGGGAGGGATTCGTAATGGCTCACATCCATTATGGAAAGCAATTCTGCCTTAAACTGTAGCAAACTGTGGGAATGAAGTAACCAATCAGAGTTGTTTCTTTGCAGTTATTTGATGTATTTCTGGGACGTCTTTTGTACTGAAAACATTATGGGAGCTGTGAGTGAAAGGCATGGCTGAAAAATGTTGACCAAAAATGTATATTTTTAAATATAAATGACATCAGTTTATTTTTCGTGAATGATGAGATGTGACTTTAATTCTCAGGATTTTCCAAATTCCGACTAAATGGAAACATTTACTCCAGCATCCACTGTTGAACAAGGACATCATGTCAGGATGGCAAGTGTCAGTTTGTCTTGAAAGATCTCACTGTTGTAGTTTTGATGTTCTTTCATTTGTTGTGCACCATGAATTATTAGAGAAGCTGAAGTCAAAATATCAAGTTCAATAAGGCTGTGATTGTTCTGAGAGCTGGTGACTTCAAATACATTAAACAGAGACCAACTTCACTGAAATATGCTGTAGATTCTCATTTTTTAAGTGTATTTATTTATGTTTGTACACTCACTCCTGAAATTATCAGGGTGTGTTTAGTGCAATCGATAGCATGTAAATCCTGTGAAACACACTTGCCCCTGATCACAAATCATCACAAACTGCACATTACTTTTCTGTTTCCAGCTGTGCTCGATGTGCCCTATTGATTTGTTTCGAGTCTTCCTGAGGCCTTGACAAACATATTCAGCATAGCTTTCCTTTATTGTTCAAAATGCCAATTAACACTTTAAACTTTTACCTATAAACATTAAAAGTTACCAAGATGCATTCTGGGACTTGACACCTTTTCATAGCTTAGTAAAGACGTGGAAAATCATTTTGGCAAAAGCATAAATGTCAGCGATGGACAAGGAGGCAGAGCGGTTCTGCTAATCAGAAGGTGGTTCGATTTATCCAGTATGCATGTCAAAGTGTCCTTGAGCAAGATACTAAAACTCAAATTCCCCCTAATGCATAGATATGAGTCCATGATGGGGTAAAGACATTCAAGGATTAGAATAATGAGCTGTATTGATGTGCAAATTTGTGAACGGGTGAATTTGAGAAGTTCTTTGAGTGCTGGTATTATTTATCAAGTGTATTACTTTGAGTTTTTTTGGTCAGAATAAAGTGGAAATATGTATTTATGATATATTCTGAGTGATAACTGGACTATAAATCAGTTTTTATTCTGTAATTGTTAGCTTTAACTTTGCTAATTAGGACCAAGCATGAAAACATCGTGCATTCCTGCATCACTAAGTATACATGTGACTCACATTGTTTGTGCTGCTGTAACTTTACTGTATGGTTTCCATTGGTAGTATTTAACATCCAGAAGTGACGCATGTGAAAGAGCATGGAAATATCTTTTACAAGGAATCTGTAGTTCCGAGTATGTTGTCCAGGAAAGAACTGGTTAAAATGCGACGCTTCCTACTGATTTGAAATAAAGTCTGAGTATATCCTGTTCAGCAGACAATAAACCACATTCTCCTGTCCATTAACCCATTAAACTCTCTTGTTTAGTGCACACTTAAGATGACTGTACAAACTGTTACTGCCAGTTTGCATCTATCATTTCATTTTGCATTTTATTCTGTTTGACATTTGTTTTAATTTCTTTTCATCTCTGGGGTCATCTGTGGCTCACTTTGTGTCAAATAACATTTTGGGGTATTTCAGATTTATTTTTACTTCCTGTGATTGTTATTGGTCTTGGGGGAAATCTTCAGTTGTAGCTCTTTTTTTTGTCTCAATCCTTCACTGTTTTGGTTTACTGGTACTTTAGGCTATTCAAATTTACGTTTGCAGTGCACCTTTTGCTCTATTTTGAACATATCACAGAAATAATGAGAATGGAGGAGAAACTTTGCACTGTGTAATGACTGAACTTGCATAGGAAGTTAGGAAGCTATCACTGGCATCTTCCAAAAGCCACAGACTGGAGGATGCGGTGACAATCCTGACTGTAAATCTGGAACGACGTCTTCCTCTCTGCTGGCTTCACTTCTAATAACACAACAGAGACAGTTCCTGTGTTTGTAATGACAAACCGCGTGTCCGATATGTCAGAACATTTCAACATCTTTACCTTTTCCATCTAAGATCTGGAGTGAGGGCAGGCGATGGATTACATGTTGGCGATAGCCAAGTTCATGAGAGATGGGATTGAGGAAAAAAGCTGCATTTTAAAATACACAGTATAGTCAAACATCCACATTTGCAGATGGATCTTTAAAGCATGAACAGAATTTCTCAGGCCAGGTTGTTGATCTGTGATGGGTGTGGTTGATGGTTCAGGACTCACTGGCATTTTGGAGCTGCTGCATCCTCCTGAGCTCGTGCATTGTGTCCTCCGACCCTCTGATCAAGTTGTTGTGAAGAAACAGGATTTGCAGGCAGGTCAGATGACTTAGAGCACCTGTGTGGGAGAGAAAGTTTTAAAAAGTCATGACTACATATGTCTTCTTTTCTAGAACATTTTCTTCAGGTCCCTACAACATATCTATATGCACAAATGTGCATGTCGAGGTGAAAAAATTACTTTTAATAATTAAAAATAATTTAAGCATTAATTCCAGCACATTTTAGAGTAAAATGTTTTTTTCACCACTTTATATTCATCTGATTTGTGTAGTAACTTTAAAAAAAAAAATCAAATAACTAATCTAAAAATACATAAGTAAGTATATATGAAAGAAAATAAATTGTTAAATGTTAAATCATTAAAAAGATGGGACTGTGTTATAACAGAGGAAACTATGTATTATTTCAAAATAAAAGTACAAAAGTGTTTGCCACAAATGTGTTGTAGCCTCCCCCAGTATTTCAGGGAGTTTCAGAATTTAGTAAGGACCTTATATACATGATTTTTTCTTGTAATTCAGGTGATGCTCTTTCTTAAAAGAAAGACTGCAGCACTTGTTTCAACACCTAAAAATTAAAGTACCTAACTAAATATGTTGCAAACTGTGAGTAAAAATTGAAAAATATATTATACGCATATTTTAAAAAAATCTACCATTAGACTTTCTTTTGACCCAGTAAAAATTACGAGTTTGTGTTTCTTTTTGTTGTTGTTGTTGTTTTTTGTTTGTCTCTTTTTTCATTCAGGGGAGAATGAGAGGTTAACCTGAGACAGACTTGATGTTGTTATTTTGAAGGTAAAGCTCAGTCAAGCAACAGTTGACGGAACGGCAGCTCAGATCTCTAATCTGTAAGAATTAGAGAGAAATAAATTTAATCGTCTGTTCCATCCTGTATGCAAAAAAAAGCTGGAAGTAGATTACCTTGTTGTTGTTCAGCCACAACATCCTCAGAAAGTGAAATCTTGATAAATCAGGAACACTGGTGAGTTTTCAGTTTAACACAATACAAACCGTCTAAATAATCTCTGGAAATTTTTCCTGTGTAAGTTAAAGATATACATATATTTTAGAAAAGTAAATGCTTTTCTTACTTTGTGGCAAGGCTGAGTTGACAAACATCGCAGTCCCTTCTTATTCCACGCTTCTGGAGAGAGTCTTCGATGACCTGTGGGTAGTAGGAAAAGGAAAAAAAGGGGTAAAACTTACATTCATGGCTGTGAAATGGTTGTGAGTGGTGTTGAGGTTAAAGCCGATTCACCTTGCCCACCTCCATCTTCTGCTATATTTCCTGACCAAGGCACACTGTTGCCAGGATACACCTGTTGAAATCACAACAAACACAAAAGTTGCTCTTCTATTTCAAAAAAATATGTGATTGTGATATGTGATGTTGTTGGTTTTGCTCTCATAGGGCTGTGGGAGGCATACGCACTTTTTGTTCATTTTTGCACAGGTTAAAGAGTTTATGTTTGTAACATCTGCAGGACAGCCAGAGATCCAGCAGAGGGCAATGCTTCACCAGACCTGAGTGGCAAAGTCAGTAGAATTCATTTAGGTTAACACAGTGCATGCAGCAACCTAAATGATTAGTCAGATTTTTCTATTATCGCCAGCTGCATTTCAGCCACTTAGTGCAGTGATTCACATTTAAGTAACAACAGTTTAAGTCTCCATATGTGGAAAGTCATGTTTAAAGTACTTTTTTCCCATTTACTTTATCTGAAATTTGACTGTTTGTTTTTATTAACGTGCTTGCATGAACTATGTGTGCAACAAGGTTGGCTTTTTGACCCCAGATACTATGTTTAGTGTCTGTTAGTCATAAGTAGAAACTGTCTCTTATGCTCTCAGACAATTAATTGTAATTTCATGTGACTGGGCATGAAACAGAGCACTAAAACCCATTTGTGAAACTGGCAACGGGAAAATTTGCTAAGTTACTTGTTCTACATTTCTTTCTTTGTCATGGCTCACTCGTCTTCACATTGTTGGAAATAGTTTTACTTGCATAAATGTAAACTGAAATTATGGCTCTTGAGGAACTTGTGTTTGGTCACATCTATTCTCAATCTAATCTTAATTGACTTAATCGCTTTTGATTAATCAAAGTACTGATATACTGTAAATAGCCTCAGCTTGCGGTCAATTTGATGGGTGTTCAATCACATTTCATAATCTTCTTTATCAGCTGGAACAGGCTGATTGTAAAGTGGTTGCATAAAAATGAAAACTGTCAGTGGGAAGCATGATGATGACAAGAGTGATACCACTCCCCCTCTTTTGTTTGTATTATACATACAGAAGCTGACTAGCTTTGTTTACCACAAATGCTTGAAATGCAAAAACAGCTTGTTCTAAATGGTAACTTAAGACAGCTAGCAGCATTTCTAAAACTCACAAATAACAACACATTTATTTTCCTTACATTGGCGTTTTCTACCTTTCCTTTTCACTATAACATTTCGAAAGTGTAAAAAGCAAACTGGCTAAACTCTGTATTGGATTCCACTACGACACCATGAAATCTTGTTGTTCTAAGCACCTCGGAGGACCTGCCAATGTTCCTCCATAAATTTTGTTTGTCACATTCTTTTATCTTTTTGTGTAATCCCAGATTATGATGTTGAAATTTAGGGCTGGATCAGGTGACCCTGAATCCTCCGTTAGTTACACTGCATTAGGCCTAGGCTGCTGGGAGTTCCCATGATGGACTGAGTGCTCACTCAACTCTTTTCATTTCAACATCATTTCATTTAATCATTAGTTATTATTCATCTCTTGCCGTCTTCCATAGTGTGTGTTTTATGCTGTCTTCCCAGCCGGTCATGGCAGATGACTGCCCCTCCCTGAGCCTGGGTCTTCCGGTTGTTTCTTCCTTTTGAAAGGGAATTTTTTTCTTCCCAGTGTCGCCAAGTGCTTGCTAATAATAACAGTGTAAATACCAGACAGGTAAACTCGGGAGAGAACAGCAGTGACTGAGACACCAGCCACGGTTTGTTCAGCTTCTGCTGAGAACTTTTCCAAACTGTGTTGCCACATTGACCCTTCCTTCTTGGCTTTTGTTCCAGGTGTTGTGCATACCTTTTGTACCCCTCCGGTTGCCCTCGCCTCACCTCTCATTACTGCATACGGGCACTTCCTGGTCATGCACACACTCCTGCTTGTCAATATGCTGTTAACCCGGCCACCTTTCATTTCCCATGAGGGTTGGGGGAAGCGTGTTCCTGCTGCTGAGTTAGAGCGTGTGCAGAGAGGGAGTCGCTCTCACCTCTTTTTTTTTTCTTTTATATGGTGAGGACACAAAAGGTAGAGCCTATCATGTTTACCCTTCGGCTTTCACCCACTCCCATAAGAAGCTCAGAGGGACGTCAAAGTGTAAATAGTCCTCTGAGAAGAGTTGGCCACGTTGTCCTTTATTTTCTCTCGGAAGTAGAGTGAATGAGCCCCCGGTGTTCCTGTTTGAGGAAAAACAAAAGAGAGAGGAAACAATAACAGAAGCTCAGTGTCAAGCTTAATGACAGAAACCAATCACCTGCGGAAGAGATAGAAAGGAATTACATTTATGCAGGTGTGGTACTACACTGCAAAAACACCACTTATGAATGAAGCTTCCAATTTAATGTCCATCTCCAAAGTCATATTAATCTGTTTTGAGAATTGTATGTAGTCAGTAGCATTGATCATGTTAGAAAATCCTGAAAGGTGTTGAGCAGGCCAGTCAACGTCTTTCTCACAAACTGGGAAAACCATTTCATTATGAACGTTTCTTTCTCTCCTGCACAATTTAATTTTTCTTTTCACTCAAACTTTTTTCTTACTTTCCTCCCTTATTTTGTCTTGTTTCTTTCCTTCATTGTTTTCTCCTTTTATCTTTCCCATTTCTATTTTTCCTTACTTTACTTAATTTGTTTTTCTCAAGTCTCTTGATATTCGTTTCATCCTGCTAATGTTGTTTCTATTTGTTTTTCCTTCTTAATTTCCTTTTTCCTTTCCATTTTTATCGTTCTTCTTTCTCTTTCCCTTTTGTTTCTGCCTTTCTGCCTTCTTACATTCTTTAATTTGCCCATCCTAACCCACTTCTTTCCTAAATTTTTGACAATTCTTATTAATTTTTAAACAAATTTGGAAAATTTTGATTTTTAACATCGTAGTCCATCTGAGTATTTCTTCCATCTCACTCAGCAGAAGAATGACATCCTCAGGCTGTCTCTCCTGAAAAGGGAGACCAGCCCTAAAAAGTGTTTGTGTTATAATAAAAGCAAACAGGTAAGAGATCTTGCATATCAACTTTCATTCACATGAGCAACAATTAGTGCCTGTGCATGACACCGCTTTTCATATCTGTAAGACAAGCCTGGATTGAGTGTTCCCCACAAAAGTAATTATATCTCTTGTTGTTTTGTACAGCGAACATACAAAGACTCCAGTTAGTCTGGGCACTTGAATCATTAGACGTGTAACTGACAGGAACTGAGGGGTCGGCAGAGGGAGGATACAGCAAATTACCCACACACAGTATCAGCTTTCATCACCGAATTCAAGGCAAGTCCTAACGTGGAGTATGTCTAATGTGACAAACTGAGCAGGAGGTACAGCTTAACCCGGTGTCTTTAACCGTCAGCCTTGCAGACATTTGCAGTTAATTTTCTAGTATCACTACTGAAGACGAGCACTTTCATCTGCACTTATAATTATCAGGTTTAGTCATGAGTGATGCATTTTTTTCCTTTTTCAAAAAAGCTTTCTGTGATTGGTCTGGAACACAGAAAGTCAGAGAGGTTAGATTTTTCTTTTATTTTGAAGAACATGCTGTAAAATTGTTCATAGTTCAGTCATATTTACCTTTATTTAGAGTCAAAGAGCATATTATTATAATTAATCCATTATTTTCATTTCCAGCTCAACTCTATTTTTATTCTTGGACTTCATTAGACGAGCATGAGTCACCATTCTTATGTAGCTTATACTGAATGTTGGTTCAGTCCTTAAGTTCATGCACAGTTTGAAGCCAGCTGTTTTAGCTCATGTTTTTTTAAGCCCACCGTTCCTTTAAGCCTGCTTTGGCTACTCCTCACAAAAAAGAAGGTTTGAACAGCAGGTGGGTGAGGCTGTGTGCCTGAGGTTATCATATAAGGGACATCCACTCTTTGACATGATAAATAGCCAAGAGTAATTTTTTTTTAGGGTAAAACTGAGAGTTTAGAGCAGTTTGAATCTCGAGATTCTGGCTCACAGGGACTCTGCACATACACAGACCTCATTATTATGAGGTCCACTTTATAGACTCTACCTATTCTGGACAGAGTACATATTTTTCAGCCGCATGCAGTTTGGATTTGTCTCATGTTTTAAATTTCACTGTAATTTAGGAAATCAAATTCACACGCACATGGATAGATGGATGGATGCCACATTGTGAATTATACTGACTTTGCTTTGCTGACTCCTGCTTCTCTCGTGCCACCATTAAGTTCACAATTGAGGTTGTATGAGTGCCATGAAATAGCATGGAGATGGTGTGATGGTTTGCACTGTTGCCTCACAGCAAGAAGGTTCTGGGTTCAAATCCAGACTGAGCCTTTATGTGTGGAGCCTGGCCAGCCTGTGTTACCTCCAGTTATTTGAACTTCCTGCTTGTATAAAGACATGTAGGTTGAGTAAATCAGTGACCCTAAATTTGCTCTAGGTGTGAATAGTTATCTGTCTCTATGTGAAGGTGGTATACCGTGCAACTTGCCCTATGACAGCTGGGATAGGCTCCAGCTTTCCTGCAACCCTCATTTAATATGCAGAGGCGAACAGATTTAGCACAGACATTTCTGTTCTTCCCAGGATGAGCCTAAAATTTGATGACCCTAAAACTTTCGCTGTAGTACCATGTGATCAGGTATAATTATTAATTTGTCAAATCAGTAATGATGTTTATAAGCTAATATTTACATTGCCATTGTGTTCACTTGTAATCATCACATTTAGGAGTAATTAGCAACTTTGAGGAAATCACAGGCCATCTTCCCATGAACCTCTACCAAAGAGTCTTTTCATGACTAGATGAGCTGCGTCCTGCTGGCGCAATTGGAATCAACTGGAATCCACCATTTATGTGTTTGTGTTGAAAACACAGACATTCCTGAGCCTCCCATAGCTACTATCAAAACTGTTGCTTTTTCTCTTCTTCCATCCTTATACAGACCACTTCGTGTAAGGTACTTTTTTGTACTTGGTAAGAATCAGCAGGTTTGGCTGAAGTGAAGTCCCGATGGCTTTAGCAGATATCACTTACATTGGGAAGAGGCTCTGCACTGAAGAAATCCACCACTTTCCAAAGAGCTTGGGAAAGCCAATATCAGCTGCCATGACCGCAGTAATGGCACCATATTGGGAGCTGAAAGTTGACCTGGAGAAGCAATTACAGTCCAAGTTGGTAAAACAACTTCAAGGTCAGACATGGCGCTCATTTGTTTCATGAGGAGGATTGTTGTTAATGAGCCAGCCATCCACAGGGGCCAGCAGGCAGGGGCTGTTAAGCTGGGCAGTGTGGTGGCAGAGGTTTTGGTTGGTTCTGGGGAGCCATGAAGCTTCCCAAACACTGTGTGATGATAAAAGATCTGGAACAACCAATGACCCCAGGAAGCACCATACAGGTGCATTAAGAGTTTCATGAATTATTTCTACATCTTTTTCAGCTGACATAAAAAAAAAGCCTCAGAATTTAAGGTATAAGACTCTCACCCAACAAGGACCATTGCTGCCGATTGCTTTCCAGGATGCATTTCCGCCAACATAAGCAATTACTAACGGTACACTATTTATATGTGTTTTAGAACTTATGTAATGATGCTCACACTTAAGCGCATTTAACCAATTTGGGTTTTCACTGCTCTGTTGTGTTGTATATCCAGTGCAGGTCTGGAATATTTTAATATTTGTGTTGCTGAGAAATTATTATCTAGTAAATAATATTTAATTAGAGCAAACAGAAATCAGTCATGGTATTCAGAGTTGAAGTAATCTGGAAAAAAAATGCAACCACTGATTTAGAAACTATAACTGTACAAATAAGCAGCAAATAATTGACTTTGATTGGTCAAAAATGTTTATTTAAATCAATACTTTGTCCTCCTCTTTGGACTTAAAGTGGCCCATACACCTTTAAAGTGGCCCATACACCTTTTTAAGCACCTTATGCCCCTTCATGCCACTTAAAGGATACACTGATACAAACCAGCTTTGCTTTTTTATAATATCAACAGCAGGAGTCACTAAAAGCTAATCTGTTTATTATGGGAACCCAGTAGCAGTCAGTCTTATTGTATGACACCTCAGTGAAACTATTACTTCAAAACACTGGCACACATTAGAGCCCCTTTTTTTTTCTTAAGCAGAGGAACAAATCTGATTTAAGAACGTTTTGGAAGTCAGAATCATTCCTGATCTCTAATAAAAAAGGACTGACTACTCAGCTGCCTTTTCTCAAGAATGGAAAAGTTTTATATGATTTATCTGTTTTGACTTATTCTCTGTATTTAAGATGTATAGGTAAACTATTGCATTCAGCTAACTCAAATTCAGACAAAAAGCTGCAATGGACTTCCAATCTAATCAGCATTTCTTGGCTTTTCTGCCCTCCTGTAGCAGATTAAATTAAAGGTTAAACTCTCTGATATTTGATTTTGGTACGCCGTCTCCAAAGAATACTTGCAAACTTGTAATCTTGTTTCCATTCACTTGATTCTGGTATGACAAATGAGATTATAAAGAATTATTCTGAATCATGATGAAATTTCTTTAATGAAATCCAAAAGATAGTTTTACCCACACTGTGCCTGCTTGCTGTTCTTATTTGGCTGAGTCAGAAATTAGTTTTTATGCCGATACAGGTCAGAGCTGTGGAAACTTGGGAGCATTATATTTCTGTTTACTGCTGTTTGTTAATTTAGCCCAAACTGAATCTGAATGTTTAAGTGAACCAGCAAAACCTGTTGATGTGCCAACTGCTCACATAATCCCATCATGGTCATCACCCTTTCTGCATATTGTTTAGCTCTCCAAAATGAAAAATAAAAAACTGGGCGGGGTTGTCTTACTGGGGTATACTTTTGGCGACCAATCAAATCTTCTCGATGAAACGCACCTGAGAAGCTGCCAAAGCGAGAGGCGGGCGGACTATATAAAACCCACTGCCCTCACATGTGTCCCTCAGCATCGGTTCGCTTATAAGAGGCGACTGCTTCTCGTTTCCAACGTTACACACTCTCTCTGTCCCCAAACGCAACCATGCATCTCAGCGCGCACGAGTCTTGCCATTCCCTCTTCTTGTTTTGCATCCTGCTGAGGAGTTGCCAAGCCTTCAAGAACGACGCGACGGAGCTCCTGTTCTCTCACATGAGCGCCCAGGTGCCGGAGGTCCAAAGCAACGTCTCCATGAACCGTCCACGAACCGGCGGGAGAGGAGCGGGCAGCGCGGCGCACGACAGAAGCGGTGAGTGGAGTGAAGGGACGCATCCTGTTTCAGAGGACCAGAGGATGCTCCTCTGCTTTGGTATTTTTGGAGTTTGCAATGAAGTTTATTCTGCTTTAAACTTACTTTAGAGAAAAAGGTTCTGCTTTGTTGCAGAATGTGTGTGTTTTTTTTTTTAAATTGCTTATTGTAAATTTCTGATGTTTGGAGGTGTTTCGCATGATATGCGAATATATCCTACCATGTGTGCCTTTAGCACATTGTAGACTGTTTTTGCATCTTAAGAAGCTTGAACGTTTTTAATTTATCTGGTTATTCTTCTCTATGAAAAGGTGTTTGCAACTACAACTAAAACCAGTTTATGAAGATCAGGTTATAATGCTTTTTAAACCACAAAGATCAAATGTCTTCTAATCAGGCACTTAATCCCATCATCACCATACTGTTCCCATTTACACATTCCTACATTCTTAAAAGGGATTATTTTACACTAAATCATCACCAGTTTGCAGACATGACTGGAAGCTTATCGGAGTGTCTAGACTGGAAAGACATGGAGCAAATTTAGGGGTGTTATAAAAGGGAAAGATGGGCAGTGAATGCAGTGAATTTGAGCACACCAACCCCCCGCCCCTCCCCAGTGATATATTGCTCAGTGTAACACACACCTGATTGGCTGGGGTCCAGACAGGGATGCAAGGCTCTATCAGGCCGAGCAGCGGACTGGATGAAAGTGTTCTCCCATACCATTGTGGCGGATTACTAAACAGGGGGAGGGGGTGAAGTGGCAAAAGGGAGGGAGAGATCAGGCTGGAGCCTTCCTTCATTCATCAAACACTGTCACTGAGAAGGGAGGGCATTGTATATGGAGTTGTTTCAATGGACTCAAGCTTGGGTTACAGTGACAGAGGGGAGAGCAGTGGGACACTGTTTGTAGCCTACGGGAAAATAATGTTGCTGTACAGAAGTAGACCCGCTTCCCAGATTTAAAGAAGAGAGTTTTTCTGTTTCACAGTGCTGTAATTACTGAAGTAGAAATGTCAGGGTGCTCCTCTTGTATCGTGTGACTTGCCAGAGGCTGCAAAAGGGCTTATGACTAGTACAATGGGGGTAATCTTCAATCAGACCAAAAACTAGAGATGCAAAATTGTTCTGCAAGGAAAGCAAAAACTAAGTGTAGCACTTGATTGGAGCTTTGCAACTGTGAGAATTTTCTGCTTTTATTTTTCACTTTCAAAAAGAGTACACAAAGAAATCTGTGAAGTAACTAATAGTCAAATAATTTGTTGCAGCCCAGTTTCTGTCTAGCTGCCTACATATATTTCTTCATATTCTCACACGTCTTTGTTTCTGCCTACAGAGCAAAGTCAAATTGGATGCAGAGAATTGAGGTCCACTAAGTACATCTCTGATGGTCACTGCACCAGCATCAACCCCATCAAGGAGTTGGTGTGTGCAGGCGAGTGTCTCCCAGCTCAGATGCTGGAAAACTGGATTGGCGGAACCCATGGCAGAAGGTTCTGGAATCGACGGAGCAGCAACCAGGACTGGCGGTGCGTCAATGACAAGACCCGTACCCAGCGCATCCAGCTGCAGTGCCAGGATGGCAGCACAAGAACTTACAAGATTACAGTGGTCACCTCCTGCAAGTGCAAGAGGTACTCGAGACAACACAATGAATCCGGAAACAAGTTTGAGGAGTCGGCCCTGTCGCCACCGAGGCTTCTCCACAAACACAAATCTAAGAGCAAGAGAAGGTCGGGGAAGAACAGGCTGAGTGAAAACTGGCACGAGACTGAACCCTGAGAGACACTGAACATGCAGAGTGACTCTAAACCTCAAGAAGTTTTGTCTCAGTGATGTTAAGACACGACATCCAGAAACAGCAGTTGTGGATTATATGTGTGTGACTGGGACTTGATTTATGTGAACTGGTTCCTCACCATGATGAAGAACTCCAAGCAGGACTCTGAGAACTTTTCTTGACATTTTAATCCACATGCTTAAAGCTAATATGACCAGGACTTGTCTGCAGAATGTTCTCCAGCCACGAACCATGCATACTGTCCTCTAGCCCTGTGCATGTGTTCATATAGTCATTTGATATGCAGATGGAGATCTTTAACTAACGAAGCGCCAACACCAATAAACACTACCCAACATCTTAAAATAATATTGTGTAAATAGATGTACATATATAAAATTCATGCTTTATAAAGTATGTCCATTTGTATAAAATTTTACCATGTAAGATTTATGATGTAATATATTTTATTTGGCAGCGAACCTGATAAGTGTGGCTTAAGTGCAGTCAGCATGTGGGTGAATCCTCTGGAAAAAGCTTTGTCATCAATCAGTCGTGTAAAAATAACATTGTATGAAATAAATATCCTTTTTTTTTTTATCATATGTGTTGTTTCTAGTAGGAATTTTTGGTTTGATGTGTTTCATCTTCAAGAGGGCTCTCATTAAAACTTAAAAAGCCTCGGACATAAAATGCACCAATAAATGTATATTTTTCAGGTAAGAAAGCTGGATGGATTCAGCACTGGCATATAGCATGGTTTCTGTCATAAACACATTTCCACCTATCTGCAGTGTAAATGGTCTTGAAACATCTCAGGAATTAGGACCTCCCAGTCCTGACCAGTGGTCCTGCGGACAGGAGCTGGCAAATATTTCCCATAGTTTTTTTTGGAATTATTACTTTACTAAAATGGGAAATTAAACACCGTAATGTTTAAATTATACTAATACAAACAAATGAAAGAACAGTAGATGAAACTGATTATGATGCTTCTGGACTCAATTAAATAGTTTGAGTATTGTTAACATTAGGGAATTACCGGGCTAATTGTGTTAATCAAAAATAAAAATCCTCTGGACTTTTTTGGAAACCAGAAAGACATACGTACAAATGAATGCATAGAATAAAAAGTACATTATAGGTGCACAAATGTAAGTATTTCTAAAAGTTCTCTCTTTTACATCCTGCGTTTTCCTCTTTAAGGACCACATATTAAAGAGAAAACACTGTTTTCTTACTTTTCTTCAAGTCACATAAACTTCACAAAGCGAAGTTCACAAACTGTTACCTTTAATCCTCTGTTGTGAAGTGTAGTTAACTTTTTAAAATCAAAATAAATACTCTACGAGCTGTTGTAAGTTCATAAATTTTACATTTGCAACTTTCAAACGCTTTTATATTTATTTTGAAGCGTTCACCGGAAGTGTTCGCCATCGATAATCTGCCCGCTTCACAGCGGTGGTTCCCTCTTTTCCATCCACGTTTTCGGTATCTTACCCACCCCGCCCATCAGAAGGGAATGGATAGCTTTGGAAAGTAACCTACAGTGAAACCCCTCACACCCCTATCTGTAAACATATTGAGGTCAGTAATATGAACACGCGGGGTGATAACTGTGAACCGCACAGGGCCGCTCATCCCGGGATTTTCACAATGTGCGAGGCCGGGAAGAGCGACCACCACTCGGCAGAACGCTGCGTGGACTTCCCTGTATCGGTGGTTCTTCCTGCCGGAGGCACCGGAGAAAGAACGGGACTACAGACACCAAAACAGTTCTGCACGTTCCTTGGCAGACCGCTCATAAGCTACACTATTCAGGCTTTCGAGAGGTAGGAGAGGCGACAAGACTCAATCCCCGTTAGTTATTAGGGAGACACGGAAACAGAAGGAAAAATGCCTCAGCTACTACCACCATGGCCGGATTAGTGGCTCGGGTGGCCCATGGGCAATATTTAATCGTTGGGCCCCCGCAGTGCACAGTACAGTCAATATCTGATTGCTCATTAATAATCATATTAAAAATATATATAAATACTGAAATTGGGGGGAATCCTGGTTTCTAATTCAAAAGAAAACAGCTTTGGCAATTTGAGTATTTGCTTTGGCTTCAGCAAATATGGTGGGCATATTCTCCTATTTTGTGACATTATATACACAAAAATTGTGGATCATTTCTATTTTCAGTACATTTCCTGGCTTCCATTAGTTATGAAAATAATTTAAAATAGAAAAATATCTCATTCCCACTCATGCATTTTCAGCCCTAATACACCAATCATCCCTATCCAGTTGAAAAGGAGCTGTACTGAAAAAATCTAAATCTGGTCACTTGTTTTACGCAGTCCTCTATTTGATGTGCAGATGTGGCATACATACATGTAATGCTTTGCAGGCAAATGAACCCTAAGATCAGGTGTACTGTAGAACTTCTATTTTTACGATAGAAGTTTTTATGTCGTCATCCGATATATATCGTTATATTGAACAGCCCTATGTACTGGTGCAGTATGAGGAAAATAATTACTTGGAAATAAGTTGCATAATATTTTTTTTTTGTTCCAGTAGATTTTTCTTTGCATGCATATTGGGATTAGCTAAATTTTGCACAACTGGCAGAGGGGGTCAATTGATAACTTTTTCTCTGTCATGCTCCTTCAGCTTTTCTAGCATGTTAATTCTACCTTTCTTTTTCAACCTATAACAGTCCCTTAAGCGTTTGTACCCTTTCACATGCGTTGTCCAATTTGGTGCCTCATTCTGATACACCAGAGACATTTTTGTGACTTATTAACCTTTGTAGGAGTAAAATCTGCTCACTCAATTTTTTTATTTTACTCAATTTATGATTGTCAAAGCATTAGGGTATTTTTGTTCAGCAAACAAACATATTTTCTACAGATTTTTGGCTCAATAACTAAAGTGATGAAAAGATGGAGCTACTCTGTGTTGTGATCATTGTTTGACCTCCATTACAACAATACCAAGACAGCTGGTTTTTGAAATCTGATGTGTCTCCTAGCTTGTTGTCAGTTTATGTGCCTGTCAGAAAATTAACAAGCAGCCCCTCCTCGAGGTTACAGGGAGGCTGCCAGGGGTCAGGGGGTCAGGGGCTGCCAGTTTGCTGGTAAAAAGTGGCTTATTTGAACCCAGAACTTCTATTATGTTCATGTTTTTCATGCATTTTACAATCAGCTACAGCTGCAGGTAGTACCTTATTAGCTTGGTTTAACATTAAGATCCAAAGCTTTTAATTTTCTATAAAAGATGAGATGATACATTATAGTTATAAAACAAAGGTGCTGGCTGGCAGATTTGTGAACTAGTGGACATCCACTAGTCCCCCCACTTCACTTCTCCATGCTAAGCTAACGGTCTCTTGGAGCTACTTTCCTATTTAAGTCACGTATGTGAATTTAATGTAAACTGTTTGCAAGAGAAACAACTATACTATTTTTTACCCAAATGCATATGTTTTACTAAATAATAAGAGTACTTTAAGCTAAAATAAAATTAAAACAAGCATTTTTAGCTTGTTAATTGTCATATAAATATTATACATATTTATATTATACATGTTTAAGTGGTCAGAAAATGTCATCCAGTGTTTTGGGAACTTTTCAAATCTTTCCTGACTTTTTCCACATTACACAGCCTAAAAAATACTAAATATTTGAATACTTGCAGTCCCAATTCTCCATCTGAGGGCTCAGTTTACAAATCAGGCATTTCTGAGCTGATGTTTCTTTTTCTTGCAGTATGCCATGGATCCAAAGCATTGTGGTTGCTGTTGCCAAAGAAAACATGGACCTGATGACGGACATCATCCAGCGGTTTAAGCACAGAAAGGTTCGTGCGGTGCCAGGAGGCTCGACGCGTCACAGGTCGATATGTAATGGAGTCCTGGCTCTGGGTGAGGAGGAGAGGCCAGCAGTGGGCAGACCGAAGGTTGTCATCATACATGATGCTGTTCGGCCTTTTGTGGAGGAGGATTTTCTGTACAAGATAGCAATGGCTGCCAAGGAACAAGGGGTTAGTGTGATTAAAATGATTAATATTTAAAAGATTAATCACATATTGGAACCTGACCTGAAATCCACCCAACATGTTGTTACATTTGCTGCTTATTTTGTGTGTTATTTGGAACAGAGTTTTCATCCTTAGATTGTCTTATTTCCAGCACCTCAAATCTGATCTTTCCTGGAGTAATCTATTACATGGTCATGTAATCATCCTCTGTGTGTATGTTCCTCTTTTGCTTCTGCCTTGTAATGATTGCTCTTAAAATATCTTCAGATGTTAATATGTACACAAGCTGGCTCATAGCCAGTAAAAAAGAGGGAAGACAACATTGGTTGTGATGCCAGTATTACTTTATTTACAAAAGTAAAAAATGATAAACATGACATCTGAGGAATCAGAGGTATAAGTCGTGGCATGGAGGCATAGATAAGTGAAGTGTAAGTGAGGTGGTCTGGGCATCAAAGCGAGAACAACAAATGGAAACCTGGAGGTGTCATTCCGAGGAGGTAGAGAGAGATGACGCTCAGGCTTACTTGAGGTATAATGGAAACCCTGCACAGATCAGTCAGTGGAATGACTCTGTCCACCACTAAGCCTCTGCAGGAGAAAACCTGGCAAAGCATACAGGAAAGGTACTCGGCCTAACTCGACTCGCTTATCTATAGGGAAAAGAATACAGAGCTAGGGAGCACACAGCTTGGCAGGAAGACTGTAACAATATATACATGAGAGGTAACGAGGGAAGGAGAAACAGATGGGGAACTAAACACAGCTGAAAGCAATCTAGACAACGAGCAGGGGGAAGGTTAAACACAATACAGGAGATGTACACAAGATACAAACAAACCACTATCAAAATAAAACAGGAAATAAAACAACTAAACATGGAAACAGCAAGGCAGTGGAACACTAAAAGGCAAAAGAAAACACAGAGACAAGATTGGAGGAACAGAATGGAAACAACAACTGTTAAGAATAGTAAAGTAAATACTAACCCAAACATAGAACCACAAACCTAAACTGCACGTCCTGAATAATCAGCTAAACACAAACAAGAGCCACTGGGAAAGTATAATACATAAAACCAACATATAAACAATGTTATATTTAAAAATAAACATCAGTCAAACATAAATCACGTCAAAAAACAATGACAAAAACAGGATATCTGAAGGTGCTACCGTCAACTAGGAAGGAGTCATTACTTAAAGCTAGGTTCTAAAACAAAACTTCCTCATTTTTCTATGGTGTTTCCATCTTCTCTACCCGTCCTGCCACCACCACTTTTGAGTCTTACACTGCCATTACATTAATAGCAGTGTAAGGTTGGACAGCTCTTTTAAACTTGAGAAACAAATCTCCTCTGTGGTAAAAAACAGTTTCTACCAGCTGCGTCAGATATCTAAAGCAAAGCCATAACTTCCTTTGAAGGACCTTGAAAAGCTCATTCACGCTCTTATCACTTCCAAATTAGAGTACTAATTCTCTCTACTCGGGCCTCCCATCTTCCTCTATTCACCAGCTCCAGTTAGTTCAAAACGCAGCTGTGCATCTCTTAACTGGTACTAGAAATTCTGCCCACATCACACCAGTTTTAGCCAACCTACATTGGCTCCCTGTTGATTATCGTATCAATTTCAAAATTCTTTTGCTTACCTTTAAAATTTTAAACAATTTGGCTCCCAGCTATCTATGCGAACTCCTTAATTTGTATATCCCTAACAAGTCACTTAGATCTTCCAATCAAAAGCTCCTGACGCAACTGAGGTCTCGTCTGATGCCCAGAGGTGATCGGGCCTTTGCAGTCATAACTCCCAGACTCTGAAATAACCTCCCTCCTTATATTCGTTCTTCCGAGTCTTTTAAATTGCGTCTTAAAACGTATTATTTTAGTCGGGCTTTTGATTCAAACTAGTATGTTATTTCGTGGCTAGTTTTTGTTTCAAACAATTGTCATATTGTTTCCTGCCCTCCTTTTAACTGTTTCTTTTGTATTCTGTCTTATGCTATTGCTCTGACCGACTGTGAAGCACTTTGGTCAACTTTGTTGTATTATTATGTGCTATGGAAATACATTTTGATTTGATTTGATTTGATTTGAATAATAGTGGCATCATTAGGACAGATGTCATTAGATGTGAAGGTTAAGTACCACATGACTGTAAACGCATACAAAACAGCAGAGTGTATCTAACAGCGATGGCAGGTTGAAGGCAGGATTGGACACCACTGGTGTGTCTGCTATGTGCTCAGCAGACACTGGGTTTGCGGTGAAACCCAGTGTCTGCTGAGCATACACAGTTATTTTCATTACAAACGTGTTCTCTGTTGTCGTAAACAACACACCTAGAAGAAGAACGACTATTAGTGGCTCTAGCTGAATTTCCCATTAATTGAATTTCCCAATGAATGAGGTGAATTTCCCATTGATTTTCTTCACTGAAACATAAAAACATTTATAAATCTATGAATTTTAAGTCTTAAACCAAAACAACAACAAAAAACAACTGCAAGGTGACTTATGACTTAAAAAAGACATATTTATGTTTAACAGTAAAGGAACGACACATCCCATAACTCATTACAAATCCCAGCGTCCACAACAAACAACTTCCAACCTTCTCAAATGTAATCCTTGCCATTACTGCAATGTTAATATGGTTAATATTAATGTTGTATAATAAAAATTATATATATATATATATATATATATATAGTAAAAGGCAGAATAAAGTCAGAATAAATTAAATAATCTTTATAGTAAGTTAAAACACACAGATTTCTTTCGGCAAGTTTCACTTTGCTGGTGCATAATTGTGTATTTAAATCTCAGAAATTGTCATATCATGAAAAATCTGGTACCTATTCAGGAAACCTCTGTTTTCATCACAGGAGAGAGAAAGATCTTAATCCTCCTGCAAAAAGAGGAAAAACCACGAAAGCCACTCGTTCCTCACACTTGGAAAGCGTACCTAAATGAAATTGCAACTTTAGTGCATACTTCATTTTTTCTTGTGCTTTAGCAGAAAACCAGAGAAGGCCAATTAAAGCACATGGTGTAAACACATCAGACATCCTGCTGTTTTATTTTTCTGTGAGGAGTACAAGAAAGTTAGCCACACACTAAAATACAAGAAGTTCAAGTTCTCCCGTCAAAGAAAAACCAAAGTGTTTTTGATTGCACCTTTCACTCACCCCTTTAAAACCAGATGAATCCATCTTCTCATAAACTGTTTATGAGACCGACAGCTCCATTGCTCTTGGCGGTGGTGTTTATGTCACTGGTAACACGCAGAAAACATTTAGGCCGAAGCCACGGCCTCGTTGATGAAGAAACTCACTGATTAGCTCCATTATGAGTCATGATTGAAGAACCCAAACTGAGAGAGGTCACACAGGTTATGAAAAAAGCAAGCGCTCCTTTACACAGGTCAAACATTTGTGGTGTTTCTGAGAGTCCATGCGTGCTATGTGACGTGCATTCACAGCGGGCGATCTGGTCTTCATTATCCTGCCTGTGTCCACGCTCATGATAGAAAGCCTGTCTCTACTAAAACGTAACAGATTAATTTTGATTCTAACAGCGTGTGTAACATGCAGAAACACATGTTTGCTTTCCTTTCATTTGTTTCTTCCACACAGGCTTGCTGAATGCCTACTCCTGGAGTCTGTCTTCAATCTGCCACAGAGAGATGAAAATATTATCTCAGAAGTTGTTATTATTTTAAATATCCAAGGGAGGAAGTGCAGAGTGTGTAGTGCGTACTCTGGCTGTTCTGGTTACGATGGATTTATTGTTACTGTGAAGCTGCCAGCTCATGTGATCAAGGAAATGTTCTGTCCTCGAAATTTTCACTCTTGGCTGAAAAATAATCAGAATTATTTGATGAAAAAATATCTGAAGTGAAGGCCAGTTTACTACTTGTATAGTAATATTTGATTGATTCATGTACATGTTTAGTAATATTGTTTTAGAGGTCACACTTTGATCATAAAGGGCAAAAGTTATACTAAAGCGTTGACATTAAGTCACTATAGAGTTTTGCTTTGATGTAAGGTAACTGCATGTGATAGAAAAACTCTGATTTTCCTCTTTTAAGTGTTTCTGTCTGTTCCTCTCTCTGTTCTGTAGAACTGTATAGTCACACAGTATTTGGTCAGACTGATTTGTGGCACCATCAGCTCATTGCACACTGCCTTGTGTGAATATTTTGGTTCCCTTGAGTGTGTCTAATGACTATAAGAACATTCCAACTCTAATCAGCGCTTCATAAATATGTGTACATGTGAATTTACTTATTCACGACATTTACCTTAAATATTTGGATTTAATTGTGCCTTACTTATGCGTTTGGAAGCAAATGTGATCCTTGTCTTATTGAGGATTTTCCTGTCTAGATATTTTAATTTTTCTGTGTATTTTTGCATGAATATGTTGATAGATATGTATCAGTGTGCTCCCAGTATGCTTTCTCGTAAAAGGCTTTTTGTTTTTTCTCTAGTCTCCCTTCAAAAACTATTAAAAATTGTTAGAAGCATCTGTGATAGTTTTTACAGCGAGCTTTATGGCAGTCAGGTATATACGTATGCAGAAATGTTCCATACATATGCATGCTAACTGTGAAATTACATTCCAGAGCTCAAGATAACACTGCTTTTATAGCATGAAATTATTTCATGTTCTTTTGAAGATAGTTTGGGACTGACTTCATTGTTTACAGAGCTTTTCTTGTTCTCTTTTTTCTCTTATACATTCTGTCCTTGTGAACTATTGAGCACAAATACGTTAACCTAAATGCTTTGTCTTTTGTCCAAACAGGCAGCGGGAGCTATCCGACCTCTTGTTTCCACAGTAATCGCCACCACATCCGAGGGCTACCTAGACCACTCTTTGGAGAGAGCCAAGTACAGAGCCAGCGAGATGCCTCAAGGATTTACATATGATGTCATCTCTCAGGCCTATCAGAGGGTAGGACCTATACTCTGATGTATCTTTAACAAACAAATGGGCTGTTTGAGGCATCTTGTTTTGGGTCTTTCTGGTTTGATGCAGTTATATGCACGATAAAAAGAAACCTGACATTCTGTATTTAGCTAAGATTTCAGTTTACAAAAAGAAAAAAACGAAATACTTGGCTGTCAAGTCTTGCTGTAAACACAGGTCTGTGTGCGACCATTTCTGTAACACCCACTTCACACATTGATTGGTCAAGTGTGGGAGGTGGAAAAACAAGCTGGATTTGAGCTTTTCTTTTTCTTGTAGTTTGTTTTGTAATTCCTTTCAGGACAGAGCGTCTGTAACTGTGTGCCTTTTTCACCATATTTGGCTCTTTTCTGTGAAGGCTGGCTCCTCACCCCACTTTCAAAGGTGACTGAGGGTACACATCAGTTTAAATATTGATGTTTAACCACAGTTTATCTCTTTCAGTTTTGGTCTTTGTTTTTCCACCTTGTACTTCATACACAACGTTCACATTTTGGACAGAGAAGAAATATGGTTTGAAAGACGAGTGAAAGAAGCCATCTATGTCCACTGTGAACGGCCATCTTTGAACAGAGGCGATGGTTTATGGCACCAACTGTCTGCCATCTATAATCCAGTTTTGAGATCCCTGCTCAGACCCCTTAATGTCCACTCACATCCTGGGCCTGTTGACCTCAGGAAATCACATGATAGGGTGGGGCTAGACTTCACAATGGGTTCACTTGAAACCCTGGTTGATTGTGATCTTCAGACCTTGGCTTGTGTGTGGTAGAGGATCAATAGGGGGTCCATGACCCTCTCGGGGGACACTCCCATAGGGCTTAAAATCTGGGACTCTTTACCAATTGCTCTGAAGCTGAAGAAGCTTCTTCGATGAGAGATGAAACGTCTTCAAGAAATCTGAAGAAGTCCAGACACTTTTCTTTCCAAGGTCCTTAGACTGTTTTGCTAAAGATTAATTTTAGCTGTTAGTACAATGGTATTTTCAACCAGAGAAAATATTACTTGATGCCACAGAATTGTCGCAACTTTATAAATAACAATAGAAATTTCCTTAGCCCAACCTCATCGATTTTCCAGTGGGTTCCCCTACCTTTTAAGAAACTTCCTTTTGATTTGCTGCTGCATGTAAATAGAAAGTAGTGGTCCTTCTATGCTCGCAGTCGGAGCTTGTTGCCTGAGATGAAAAAAGTAAAAGTAAATTTTTGTATAAATTTTGTATAAACATATCACAGGATAGATGGTAAAGTCCTGCAGGCATGTGTGACTTATTTGTGGTGTCAAATAATTACTAAAAACCATCTGGGAAATCTTCTAAAATGACAGATTGAGATTTATGCACTAAAACTTACATGAGTTGGATGACAAAGGGCTTTATGATTCCCATACATCATAACAGACCCTTATAGTCCTTCATGGTTCAGCTGATATGCCAGAACCTGCAGGGTTTCACTCTGAAGAGCTTGTGGCATGGGTGCTATCACTTTCTCTTGGCCTCATCTGCACCTAGGAAAGAAATCACACACGATTATATTCTGCCACAGTGCAGAAGATTAGTTTGTGGAACAAAAGTGAACAAAGGCTAAGTTGGAAAAATGGTAACATAGGACTGAAATTACACGGAACGTCTAGGTGGATTCAGATTAATGTTCTCGCATGTATAGGGTGTTTTACTATGTGTACCTGAAAAATGGAAAGAATTATACGCTGACGTAAACTGTAAATGCGTTAATTGTTCTCTGAAAGCAGAAGTTTATTGCTAAAACGTAGTGGGCCAACGAAATGTGAAACTTAAATCGATGAAGTTGACCTTATTTATTTTTCAGACGCTTCCAGTTTGCTATTTCAACCTTTACTTCATTAGATGGTTCTTCCGATAGCCACTTTTTTCAAGGGCACGGCAAACTTTGAGCTAAGACGTTAAGTATGCCTTAAATTGGAGCGCCGTGTGTCTGCAGTTATTTTTACTCCTGGCACACATGGATCTTCAGATTGCTCTGAGAGGCCTGTTGGCTTTGGCCTTCTCAGAAAATGAGCTCACTTTTCTGCAGTATTTTCAAGGCACACTGGAGAAGGAGGTCGAGTAAGATTGCGTCCCCCTCGCCTCCTTTTCAAACTTTTCAAAAGAAGGGAAAGTGTAAGGTATCTGTCAGGTTAAGACTCTAGGACATGCACATGAAAAATCTCTAGAGCTGCTCATTTGTAGCGTGACATCTATTGAAAGCAGAAGAACTCAGGGCTGAAAAGACAAAAGGGAGGACACTTTATCCAGTCCCCAGCAAGAGCCTTTGTACCAGGAGAAAATGCTAAAGGTTAAATTACCACAAAACCAAGAGCATATTTCTGCTGTAATTTCTCTCTGCAGTTCCATGGTCCCAGATATAAAAGACTCCCCTCTCTTTTATAGCTTGATAAAATATTACCCTGCTATAATCTCAGGTAGCCTGAATTTGTCTTTGTAGTAGAGAAAACCTCATCGCCTCAATCCAAACTTGTATGTGATCTTCAGAAACGGAGCCAGCAAAGCACAAATAAACTATTCATTGGTAAAATTAACTCTAATGAGTTTAGGGAGGGAAATGACACAGAGTAACAAGGACATAAAAACACTAGAACATTAGTCTAATTGCTCTAATCAGCATAGTTTCCAGCAACAGACAGCAAAAAAAGCTCATATAAACCCATTGCACTCTACCTGCTTTGACCCAAACAGCAAACAGACACAGTTAGTGAAGAATTTAGCAGCTAAATATGGAAGTATTTTCCTTGGAGTTGATATTGTTATTCAGTGCTGTTTAATGTTGGTTCGTATCTGCTGGATGTGTTCTTAAGCAACTCTTTGCTATAACCCAAGGTCTTTTTTGCCTAATTAAAGCTAAACTTTTTATTTTTTAAACTGAAATAATAAAAACTAAGTAAAACAGTACTGTGTTCTTAAGATAGCTAATTAAAATTAAATGTATGTATAGACAATGACTTGAGTTTTAGTCTCGGTCAATTTAGTCAAAACAAGAAAACCATCCTGAGGAGGCTTTAGTGATTATCTTTATTGCAACTGTGACCTTTACATTACTGTGAGTCGGTCATTTTTAATGTAATCCATGTTTTCAGACACTTAAATTGTGCCGCTGAAAACTACACTACATGGACAAAATTACAGGGGCACACCTATTAATCTCTGAATTCAGGTCTTTTCAGTCCCATTGCTGCAGGTGTATACATTCAGTGACCTAGCCATGCAGTCTGGAGGAACAGTAACTGCATGTGTATATAAAACCTGAAGATAGTCAGATTAAGAGTATTTTGTCTCTATCTGCCATTCTGCAATTCATCTCATGTAAACAATAACGTGGCGCACAGCGTGACGTGAAAAAAGGCACATACCTTTGACGTTGCGTGACGAAGTCTGTATTCCTCGTCCACACGTAAACGCAAAAAATGAGTTTTAAAAAATCTCAGTTTTCAGTGATTCGAAACGCCGTTTACGTGTGGACGAAAGACCCAAACAGCTGCGTTTTTAAAAATACCCATGTAGGTGTGGACGTATTGTAAGAGTTAGTAATGTATTTTATTACTACCTGTAATTTATTGCAGTTTACTTGTATCTGCTTAATTGTTTACTAAATGGTTGAGGTGTGAAATAAACCACAATGGAGTTTGAAAACAAAATATGGGTGTGTGTGGTTGGAGG